GCTGCGAGCAGCTGCCTGCACCCCCTGCCTGCATCCCCGCGGGAGGGTTTCCAGAGCAGAACCCCTCCTGCCGAGAGGGAGATGAAAATCAGCCACGCCAGATGGATTTTGGGGAGCAGGAGGTGTCCAGCGACAAGGACAGGTGACCCCTGAGGGAATTTAAGCCGGGGGGGGACTGATTTCATTACCCAAATCTGCTGGAGCTTCTTGCTTTTGGGGTAAGTTCCCAGCAAAATGTCTTGGTATTTTGGCAGGGGAAGAAGTTGAAGCAGAAGAGAGCTCCAGAGTTTTCCAGCAGCGCTGGACCCCAGGTTGGAATTGCAAAGCCAAGAAATGGTGCATTTGGTGAGTTTTAGGGTTTTTTTGATACCAAAATTGCAGAGAAAACCCCCCCCAGCTCCATGTGGGTGTCACCACTTTGGAGCTTTGTCCCCTCCAAAATCCCTGGTCCCTAAGCTGGGAAGCATCATCATCAGTGATGGGTCACCAATGGAGGAGCTTCAGCTCCTCTTGGGATCCTCCAAAAGTGGAGCTGAGCTGGGGGCAGCTTTCTGGGAGAGAGGGGCTGGCCCTGGAGCCATTCCTGCCCCACAACCTGCATGGATTTGGTTACCTGACCCAAAAAGGATTGCAGTCTTGCCCAGCATTTTTTATTCCCAAAACCAAGTTTGTACAATAAAGCGAGCGCATGAGAGACAACAGATCCAAAGGCAGTTGGGGATGCCCGACAGAATATATAAATAAAGGACAAAAATAAGCAAGATGGGGGTTTTTTGTGTGTTTTTAAAGAACGCAGAGGCCGGGGGCTGTGTAGTGCTTCAAAGGACCAGACCAAGGCCTGGGTGCTTCAGCTCTTGGCAGGGGTGGACGTGGGCTTCATGGTCTTCTTCAGGTGGTGGTAGTTCGGCAAGATCTTCATCAGGAAATCCAGCTGCAGCGTCTGGGGCTGCAAACAGAGACACAAGAGGTCAGACAGTGGCCTGCGGAGGGTGGTGGGGTGATGGTGTGTCACCCACGTTGTCACCCCCACCTGCGGCCGCTCGGTCTGGACGCGGCGGAGGCAGTTGGCCCCATAGATGACGGTGTTCTCGGGGATCACCTCGTAGGTGTTGACCTTGCAGCAGGCTCCAATGATGCAGCCGCTCGTCAGGATCACGTTCCTGCCCACAAACGCTGCCGGGAAGAGAGAAAAAACCCCACAATTTTGAGACAAGACCGTGCAATCCTCCGCTCTTCAAAGATCTCACCAGGGCCGAGACCCCAAGCCTCGACGCACCTTTGGATTCGATGACGTTGTTATCCCCCACTTTCATTGCTTGGGAATCTATGGGTCAATGTTAAAGAAAGCCGTAAAATGTTTTGCTTTTATTTCAAAAGGTCAGTGCTGAGAGGGCCCACACGCGCTTCCCCCCATGAGCGCAGTGTGTCAGACCACCGGCTTCACCGCACAGCAAGGATACAACACCCAACCTCAAAAACATTGTTGGTGCCGATCACCATGGGCTTGGGCTCCACCTCCTCTTCGGTTTCTGGGGCAATATTTTCTGGATACCTGCAAGACAGGAGAGTATATTACAAGTTTTGAGATCTGAAAGGTACTGCCTTGTCTGACAGCGGCTCCTCAGGTATTTTAGGGGCTGAAGTCGCACATATCTCATCCAGTCCTGCTAAACTGCTTGCTTTTGTGAATTGTCTCTCATTCTCAGGATTAGATCTTTCCAGGATGAGAGGGATTTGTAAGTTGGAGGGAGATTCACAAAGGAAGGACTCCTTTCCCTAGCTATAGTGCATGTAAATGCACCTAAGTTGGGGGTTTATTAAATTATAGCTCCTGAGAGTTTTTAAGTTCCTTAAAGAGCACAAATTCATGTTTGACCAGACTGATAAGGGGGAGAACCGTAGAAAACACCAACCCTCTGCAAACGCCAGCCTGGAGAACACCGATGGGCTCCCAAACCCCCTCAGAGGGACCCCAAAACCTCTCAGAGGGACCCCAAGCCCATTCAGAGGGCGATCTTTCACAGTCAGGCCCTGCTGGGAGGGCTGGCTCCCCTGAAATGGGAAGGACCCCCCCGGGGCTGCGAGGGGTGAGCCCCCTCCCTCCTCCTGGCTCCTTCCTCACCCATTGACGATGAGCGCCTGCTCCTCGATCAGGTTCCCTTCCCCGATGACGATCGGCCCCGCCTCGGCGATGATCCTGGCCTTGGGGTGGATCACGGTCCTGGGCCCTGCCCAACGAGCCCGGTGTCACCCCCGGCCAGGACGGCGTGGGAGGAAGATGGGGTTAAGGGAGGTGGGGGGAGTGGGTCCTTACCGATGGTCACGTCCCCGCGGATCTCGCTCTCTACGCACACCACGGCCCCCGGTGCGATCTTCACGCTGTGGGAACG